ACCCCACAATGATATCATATGCGCTGAAGAATCACAAAATGGATTCAATTGAGTACTGGACGCAAGACATGAGTGTCTCGTGGGATGAGTTGTGTCCACCACTGAAGGCACTGGAGGCCAGAGTGTCGCTCATTGTCTCAAACTATGCCATCCATTGGATCGACGATAAGAACCAATTGGTGTCCGTAATGCACCGATTATTGACTGAGCAAGGTGGTCTCATCGTAGCGCGATTTCTAACTATGCCTCATTTGAACGCATTTCTAACGGATACCCAAATGACTGAATACAATACACGGGGAAAGACATTCTCGACGGAACAACATCTGAATATATGGCGGACAATATGTGAGGGACTGGGACTGGAGGCTAAGCTGTTAGTGATTAGGGATGCAAAGTGGGTGTATGGGAGACAAAATATGATTGGTTTGCATTTTATTTATTATTTTAGCTTAAATGATCCACTGGGTGCTTAAAAGGGTTATCTATTTTTTAATGCAAACTGTATACATAACATAATCATAGTATTTCTCAAAGTAATAAACAATATTGGATACTATAAATGCAATGACTGTGTTATGTATAGTTTGAATTGAGAAATACATAACCCTTTTATGCACGTAGACGATCAAATGATCTATATTACTAGATATTATCACTGTAGTACTGTATATTATTTTTTGATTATTTGTTTTAATTATTTGGTTTTATAACATTTTCAAATCAAAAAACCGAATTCCTAGACAATCCTCGTTTATAACAAAATAAATCTAGTTAATTTTTAAAATTTAAACATTGTGCTAGTAAATTCCTTTGAGGTTTATTAAAATGGTAATATTTTTTTTTAAAAATTATTCCCTTGATCATTTGGGTAATTCCTTGAGAATCATATGCTCGAACCATATAGTGTGGGAACGTTATCACATCATATTATTTCTTGATATAAATGTTTGCAACCATTTTAATTAACTTTTACAATGATTTTGACGTAGGTTTCTGCGCTATAATAGCATCACATTCTCGCAAAGTGTTTGGCACAAGTGGTCCGAAACTGGAGTTCATAACTGGCGTGACGTACGACCGCTTCATCCGTCCCGACGCCCATCGACTCAACCCTAACGCTTGGACTCAATTCCTGGACAACCACTCCATACAAGAAGTTGTTTTAAATTTACAAGAATTGCACTTAATTTGTATTAAACCCTAATATAAAAATGCAAAATTCATTAAACAAAATTAAACTGGTAGAATTAACTATAATTAATGTTAAATTTTGTTTAAGGTAGAAGCTTTTAAAATGGCTTTTTACAAAAATAATAGGAATATCTAAATTTAACATTCACGTATTAATTTCAAAGAAATGATTAATTTTAATGTATTCATATTATTTTTAAAAAAAGTTATTTAAATATTTTTATTTAATACAAAAATAATAAAATTATAATTACTGATATGAATCATAATTTATAACAATTATTAGTACTGTATATCCAATAAGTGACAATTGGACAGCCGTTTGTTAAATAATCCTAAATGTTAAATACACCATACATTTATCAATTATATTATTTTAACAATATAAAATTAAATCTAGCATATTATGTTATTATGTTTAATTTTGGTTTATTTATTAAAATTATAAATAGTTATAAGTTGAATCAAGAAATAAAAAGTGATCTGGTAAAATATATTCTATATGGATTCTATTCTATTGATTAAGTAATATGTGTACCGTTTTCAGTGCTAAATAAATGACCAGTGTGAACATAAAATGCACCAAATATCTGATATACATAAAAATATCATGTGTTTATTTTAAAAAGTTAAGTTCATAACTAGATTATATGAATTCACAGCATATAAAACATTTTACAAAATATATTATATTAGATTTATTTTAACTAAAAAAATGATATATTATATTACCTTAATTTACAACACCTATATTTTATTTTTATAATTATGTCATCTAAACCGAGAGTATTGCGTTCAAACATACCGGTGGTCGACATACCGGAGCTCACTGTAGGTGAATTCGTGTCCAACAAATTGATCAATTAGATTCCGAATCAATTTGTTTGGTATGAATTTTGTAAATTAATCTTGGCTATTAATTTAAATTAATATAATTTATTTATTTTTAAATAGATTAATGCATCTGGGTATAAGTGTTATTCAATATATTGAATAATTAGCAAAAATTTAAGCTTAGACTTTATTGGATAAATATATTTATCTATTTACTAAGTCATAGTCATTTTAATAATCAGTAACTTGTATTAATCAATATTTAGAAAATATTTTAAATAATTTGTTAATTTATTTATTTTAAAATATTTTAATCTATTTGTAAACTTCGGGGTCACTTTCTGATACTATATCAAATGTACTATATCAAATTTTACTTTATCATACAACAGTTTTATAGTACTGCACAATCTCTATGCAATAAATAATAAATTTTATTATTTAACAATGTTAATTTTAAAAATATATAGAAATTTGATTTTTAAAGATTAAACAAAATAAATCTACAAAATTTATGAATTATTGTAACAACAGCAAAATCTGTAAATTAAACAAAATTTAAAATAATTTTATTAAGTTGGTTATATAAAGGTTTAAAGTTATATGTAAAAAATCAGGGTCATTCATTATCAATGGATAAGTATATCAAAACGTACTCATATTATGTTTATTTTGAAATTACTTAACAAACATTGTTATTATTATATTAATGAGGGCACAATTTTGTTATAAATTTATAAAAATTTTAACATTTTTGATTAATGCTTAATTAAGAGTTGAACTATTATACTGTTTATACATTAGTATATTTATATTAAATAACAATTTAAATAAAATATCATTTTTAAAATAAATTAAATTAATAATTTTCTGCAAAATGTCGTCCAAACCGAGAATATTGCGCTCAAACATACCGATGCTTGAGGTACATGAGCCCACTGTCGGTGAATACGTGTGGAATAAGATTAGTTCATTTGATACTGAGTCAATTTGTTTGGTAAGTTTTAATATTAAAAAGTAATTATAATTATATTTTGTGTTATAATAAATAGATAGATGCGTTAACCGTTGAACACTTGACTATCGGTGCTCTAAAACGGCTGTCCCATAGCATAGCTGTGGCCCTAATTAACAGAGGGGTCACCAAAAGCGATCGACTCGTATATTCGGGACAAAACTCTATACAACACATTGTCCTGCGGTTTGTGGCGATATTTCTGGGTCTTCCCATATGTCCGTTAAGTCCCACATTCGAGGCCTACGAAGTGGAACAGGAGGTCACCTCCATGTCGGCCACAGTTGTCCTAACTCAACAGCAAAACCTACCAAAATTCAAACGTGTTTTCCAGTCAAACAACAATAATATAAAACTTGTGGTTATATTCAACGCAACACGTGATACACAAGTGTCTGAACAGCACGTGACATACGAACAGCTCGTGGATGAGGGCAGGGATCAGACCCTGAAGACTATACCGTACTTTCCTGTTGACCTTAATGTGGACCCATTCCTGCTGATACATACATCTGGGAGCACCGGTAGCCCAAAATGTGTCATATTGAAGCATGCATCAATCTTGAGATTCTACAGTGAGCTAGGTCACGCATTTCATGAAGAATTTAATGACAGCCCTCAAGTGGTATCGGTGCTCAACCCATTAGGTCACATAAGTGGATCACAAATGATACCTAGTCTACTTTGTCTGGGCGTTAAACAAGTAATATATAGCGAGTTCACGGTTGACCTACAGTTCCGGTCGGTGGAGAGGTATGGGGTAACCATTCTCATCATATACCCCTCAATAGGGGATAAGCTAATTGAGGGGGAATTGTGTGATAAATACGACCTGTCTACTTTAAAAGTATTGTTGACAGGTGGTGGATATTTCCCGGCACATATCGCACGAGCTATTATTGACAAGTACCATGTTAGTTTTTGTGAAAGTAAGTATTTTTAGTTATTATTAAATAAGTACATTTTTAATAGGTGTGGGTGGGTGAACTCATATATTTTCCAAACGTACTTTTTGAATGACCCCTTACATGATTTATTAATACTGTAATTAAAAGCATAAGTAAATAATTTGTTTTTAAGTTATTTATAATTATTTCAAAAATTTGAAAAAATTAACTTTGTACTTTAATCTAATTAAATATGGATAATATAAAACTTAATTATACAGTACATTGATTTTATAAAGTTTTAAAATTACACAATTTTTACCTAGATTACGGCATGACGGAATATTTCTTGGCAACAGAAATATTTAACATTGGTTTAGCCAGAGCACAGACCTATATCCCGGGGAGTTTGGGTCCCATATCCCCGGGCACTGAGGTAAAGGTCGTTGATTTGAGTACAGGCGCTACACTGGGACCCAACACGGATGGGGAGGTATGTGTTCGGGGAAACAAACTGTTTGCCGGATATCTGAACAACGAAAAGGCTTATCGGGAGGCAGTGGACGGGGAGGGCTGGTATCGCACGGGAGATATCGGACACTACGACGAGAGGGAGAATATATTCATTACGGATA